GTGGATCTATGAACCAGGTGGTCACGGTTTGATTCCTGGTTAGGGTACATGCCTGGATTGCAGGCTCAGTCCTTAGTGTGTGGGGTGTGTGTGTGTGTTTGCAGGAGGCAGCCAATCAATGATTCCTTCTCATCATTGATGCTTCACTCTCCCTCTCCCTCTCCCAAATCAATAAAAATATATTAAAAAAAAAACCAGCAGCAGTTTCAGTTCCCCAAGTTACATGGAGTAGGGGAGAGAAAGGTTCCAAAAGAAAGAGATGAGCAATGGATGAATCCAGGGTTCGATCCCCAGCAGGAGGCAGCAGATCAATAATTCTCTCTCATCATTGATGTTTCTATCTCTGTCTTCCCCCCCTTCCTCTGTGAAGTCAATAAAAATAATATTAAAAACAACAGCAGCAACCCGAGTTGTGGAGGCAGCCACAGTTCCAGGATCTGTCCTTGACCCCTGGATTAGAGTTAAGTATCCAGTTCCATCTGCCCATATGGTGAGGAGCAGCTGAAGCAGCTGATTAATGATTCTCCCTCATCATTGCTGTTTCCCTCTCTCCCTCTCCCTTTCTCTCCGAAACCAATAAAAACATTAAAAAAAAAAAAAAGAGAGAGGCATTGCTAAAACCGATAAAATTGCTTTGCTATGGCACCACACTCTCTCTACGCAGGCATTGTAAGAGGCAACGTGCAAATGAGCACGGGAGTGCAAACTCAAAACGGCTTGTAGGCAGGCAGGCGTTTCAACTAAAAAGTGTTAATAAATGCTTCAGGACAAACGCTTTAAACTTCCCACCCCTTCCACCCAGGCGGCACCCCCTGAGCCCTCTCTGTACAGAAACTGCAGAACTGCCCCCGTTCCTTCCAGAAACGCCACCCTCCCAGCTCCCCACGATGAGCGGAGGCAGCAGTGGGCACTGGGCAGGTGCGTGGCATTTCCTAGCGTGAATCTCTCCCCGAATACAAGACGCTTGGGAGGAAGGGGAGGAAGCAGGCGCAGGACCAGAAGGCACCCTCACCCTGCGGATCCCGGACTGAAGCTCCGATGCCCGCTGCGCTAGTCCAGCGAGTCCCCAGATGCCAGCAGCTCGCAGAAGCTCAACTGCAATCGCCGCAGGCCATCCGGATGCGGCAGGCCCTCCGGCCCCAGTCCCAGAAAAGCACAATGAGTCTCGCTCCGATACCGTCCTCACAGAGCGCTTCCTTGCACCGGGAGGGAAACTGGCGCCGTGGACACGGCGTGAAACGTGGTTTCTTCTGAACTAGGTAGATGCCCTCGGATGCATGTTGTCTCCTCGGCCCAGGGGCAGTGACGGCGCGCCATAGGCCACCGGTCACTCTCGGAGACCCCCGGGGGCGCCCGAGGTGCGGCAGCAGCTGCAC